TAATCGTTAGGATCACACTGCATTTTAGATTTGAAGTCCTGTAACATGTTTTTGAATAATCGCTGAAGGAAAGCTGTGCTTTCTTCTTCTTCTGGAAATTCATCGAAATGAACGACATATCTATTTTCATGCGCTTTAAATTTTGGAGAGGTCCATTTTTCAGCTAGTCTCATGTGATAATACTCCGAAATGGGTTTAGGTGGTAAATCTATTTCTCTCTCGGTACTTTTTCGTTTCAATATTCGTCGAGCCTGTACCTGTTTTTCTCTAGTAGAATCCATGTCTATCAGGTGATGGCTCTGAGAGTAAAATGAACCCAAAGTCGGAGAAAACCGTATTTATATACAGTGGATGACGTCATAATGCATAGGTAAGTTTTTTTTTTTTTTTTTGCACACGGCACTTTATAGAGGGTGCAAACAGGTAAATATAAGGAAAACGTAGGTAAAACGTATTTTTGCACACGGCTCTAAACAAACTTGGCTCGCTGCCAAGTATTTACCTGTATAGTCAGCATATTTTTTGCACACGGCCCTAAACAAACTTGGCTCAGTGCCAAGTATTTACCTGTGTAGTCAGCATAAAAAAACGTAGGTAAAACGTATTTTTGCACACGACCCTAAAAAAAATCCATGCTATATATAAACCCAGAGCTGGACATTGAGGATCATTCTGTGTGAGTACTTGAAAGTGAACACAAGTAAAAAAAAAGTTTCAGTGGTCAAGTCAGAGGTATGGAACCAAGGTATAGCTGGTTTATTGAGAATACTGACAAGAGTGGACCCTGGATGGAAACCCTAGAAGAAGCCACGCAGGATTACCATAAAAACCATTCAGAGGAATCTAATCAAAAACCATGGACTTATTGGGAATACTTTAAAGAACTGTGGGGCTTGGATAAGATGATTCCGGAACAATCTAAAGAAAAAGTTGAAGAAACTAAACAAAAAGTATGGTTGGAAAAAAGAGTGAAATTTCCTGAAAATTATGAGGTGATAAGGAAGCACTGCTCTTTTGAGGGAATGAAGGGTTACCACGACTACAAATGGGAGATCAGAGGTGAGGATGATAATGGTTTTCGGATTGAAACTATATACTTCCCCGATTTAGAATCGTGTATTGAACATTTACTTCTGTACAAGAAAGAAGGAAAAGCCTTAAAAAGACCGCATCTAGGTACTTATACACAGTATCTCCATGGAATAATTCCTTATTTTCCAAATGAAAAAGGTATTCCTTGGAGGACACGAGACTATGATGATGATGATGATTTGAAGTTTGATGATGATTCGGACTGGATGATTAATTTCGACGGTGTTGGACTGGATGATTAATTTGGAGGGTATTTTTGATTAAAAGACAGCCTGGTAAATTGTTGTATGTATTTTTTGTTAAATTTGTAAATTTCTTTGTTTATTGTGAATAAAAATTGAATAAAAATCTGTGTTCTTGTTATTGTATTGTGTGTGTGTTTTGTTTTCAGTAAAAAATCCAGGTGGTTCTTGTCTTTCAGTAAAACCAGTTCAAACCGGTTATAGGACTGTCTAGACTCTGAAGCGTGACGTCATAATCACATTCTTGAAATGTTTTTGCACACGGCGCATTTTTACCTGTATAGTCAGCATAAAAACAAAAACGTAGTACCAACGTACCAATGTAAATTTAAGGGGAATAGGTTAGGGTTAGTTAGGGGGGTTAGGGTTAGGGTTAGGGTTAGTTAGGGCTAGGGGGTTAGGGCTAAGGGGGTTAGGGTTAGTTAGGGTTAGGGTTAGTTAGGGCTAAGGGGGATAGGGTTAGTTAGGGTTAGGGTTAGTTAGGGCTAGTTATGGTTAGGGTTAGGGTTAGGGGGTTAGGGTTAGTTAGGGCTAGTTAGGGTTAGGGCTAGGGTTAGGGTTAGGGTTAGGGTTAGGGGGCTAGGGGTTAGGGTTAGCACTCCACTCAGTTGACCCATTTATCCCCTCTACCAATCAAATCTGATCACGTGATTTCTCTCAGCCAATCAGAATGCGGTCCTAGCTAGGCTCCTTATACTACTTGTGAGTTCTTATACGGACATGTCCGTTTGACCTTTTTTCTGCGTTTCTATACTACTGGGTTAGTCCATTTGTCTTCTAGGTAAGGCGGGTGACACTCATTTCGCGCCAAAATGACACTTGTAAGTTTTTGCGCCCTTTTTCTGGACTATTCTGTTGAATGGAAATGAAAACTGCATGAATTATCTAAAGTCTGTTCTTTTTTGTCGGAATCCTGATCGAGGTTTGGAAAAAAACGTATCGGTGATATTGTGAAGTGAGTTAGAACTTACATCATTTAAAGTAATAAAAAAAAGAAACGAACAAAAACCTCTTGAGAGGATGTACTGGCCAAATATACATCTGATCATACCACTCCCCCCTCCAAGGGGTTTCCTCCACAGAGTATAGACTTGTGTCCTCTCACATTTCAGGATTGAGAAAGTTTATTACCTTTTTGCTCGTACAAATATTTTAGATGTGGACCCCTCATCCCTGGGAAAAACTTCCTGAATCCGCACCTGTCGCCATTCATATATCGCCGTCAAGTTTGTTGGGTCATATAAGCATATAGGGGCTTTAATTATTTATCCCACGTTTCCAACAATCTTTGATGTTCTGGCATACCCAAGAAACTAGTAAACATATTCTGCATGTCAGTCATAACCGTTACGATTCCCAGTTTCTTGTAGTTATCATATTTTCAGCTGTCTTCCTCAAAGCCTATGCTGTATGCATGAATCTAATTTATGTAGCCTTTACATGTAGCCAAGCTTTCCAGCATTAATCAGTTACATTTAATTTAGTGTTTTTAATTCATCCTCTGAAACCATTTTTAGGCTCGCGGAGTGAAGTGTTCATCTATACGTCGCGGGTTCGAATCTACAGCGGGACATGTACACGATTTCATTTTTTATTTGAGATACGAACAATATACTTGTATGCGTTTTATATAAAATGTGTTCTTAATTTTCCATTCATACAACTTAAATGAATGCATGATGTTTTGTGCAACATCTTCATAATTTACTCTTGTGAAATAATTCTCCCCCCCCTTTCCCCATTGTAAACGTTTATAACTTATCATGCTTATAAGTTCTATATATAGATATTGATGGCATTAGTCAGGCAAGCTTTTTAAAAAGCTGTTACTTAAGGAATCATTGTCTAGTTCGTACAGTATGCCAGGGCATCAATGATAGTGGGAAACATGGAATAATTTGCATAATGGGCGAAGCCCATTATGCTTAAATTATCCAATGTTTCCCACTATCGTTGATGTCCCTGGCATACTATACGAGATAGACAGTGATTCCTTATATTTCCGTTTCACTGTGAAATAAAATTGTAGATTTATATTTTAAAAATATAGACATATATTTAAATTACATGAAGACTCCCTTGCCAATTTCCATAGCTCTCTCCCACTGCCGCCAAACACAAAGGCAGCCGCACGAGATTTTCATGCATATTTGGCATCCTTAGCGTCAGACACAAAGACAGATGCGCACGAGATTTGCATGCATATTAGGCCTCCCTAGCTCCTGACATTTCGACTTGCCTAATTACATTCCGGCAGGTTTATCAAGAAATTAACTCCGCTAAGTTTCAAAGAGTTATCACAGAGACAAAAATAAGAAATGGAAATATTTGTGGGCAATTCTAATGTTTGAAAATTTTTGGTAAACGTGGTTCAAACTCAACGTCAATGTCAGGAGGTAAAATTTGGTAGTATATCTTTGGAAAGTCTGGTCACGAGGGGCCAACTCGATTGGGACCCTTCTAGAAGCAGAGGGGAATGTTGGAAGGGTTGGAATATGTATGTCTGAATCGAGTGTTTAGAAGTATATTGAATAGGGTGGAATATTATCTGCAATGTTTTGAATTACTGCAGTTGTTGAATTTCAAGAATTTGAATCTGTTTTTTTTAAGCATTAAATGTTAGTTCGAAAGGGAAATTTGAGATAATTAAGAGTGGAAAAATTAATTTAATATAATGGTATTGGGAATTTTTTTTGTAAAGAAAGATTTAAAACATCATATGGAATGCCATATACGACAGCCAAATGCTTACTGCCAACTGCTGACTGCTTACTGCCAACTGTCAGCTGCTTACTGCCAACTGCCTCACATATTTGAATAAATTTTATTATTGTTATATTGATATTTATGTAAATTTAAAAAAAGGCGCGGATCTATTGAACATTTTTTTCCAAGAGGGTCACTCTGGTAAAAAAAATCTAACCCAGAAATTTCTTGACAAGAAAAAAATACGTAAAGTTGATTTTACTGCAATTACATAACAGAAAAAATGCTTCTTAACAGAATTACCCTTCATACATGATAAAAATACTTTTTTGCAACTGTATTTTGTTTTAAGTTTGGTTTATTTACAATAATAAAAATCCCCCGAGTTTCCCCAAACCGCTTGACGCCATATTAGAATGCTATCCTTCAGCTATCCTTCCATCTCTGACGTAGAAGGCTGACAAGGCCTTCTAAGTCTACCCTACCAAACCAATCGAGCAGACAGAATGGTTATTCTGGAATAAGAAGGGTCCCAATCGAGTGGGCCCGAGGAATACGCCTGTGAAATATGATCAGAAGTGATGGATGGGCAAGTTCAAGTTTTTTGCGGACAAACAGATAAACACACAGCCTACAGCTGACAGATGGACGGACAGGGAAAAAACTATATACCCCCGAATCCTCGATAATAGGGGCATAAAAACATATTCCCAGGTTATTATTGATTTATAATCATATTTGCAACTCATATTAATAATTTACAACGCAATGTATTTTTCCCCTTGCAAGTTTTTTTAAAAGCACTAAAAACCATATTTCTGAGGCAGATTTCCAGTACAGCAAAACGGAAAGGAAGGTCACATAACTTTGCATTAATGTTTAAAACTTTATTATAAGTTTATTTTTTCAAGGGAAACAGAAGGCCAAATTATTCCTATGCAAGAAGAAAAAAATCCGGATTTCTTGGTTTGAATTTTAGAATTTCCAAACGCCACACGTCAACATCTCACATGATTTAGATTGGATCCATTTTGGCTTTCCTGTTGAATTGTAGGGAACATCATAGCATGGATTAACGTATATTTTGGACTTGACCGGTGTAAATAATGGCTCTCAAGAAAGTCAAAGGCACTTTGGAGCGAGTGCTGGACAAAAATCTTCAAGATTTGGTTCGTGGCATTCGCAACCACAAAGAAAATGAGGTGGGATGTAAAAATCAATATCAATTTGAAGCTTGAAGTAGAGATACACAACACTGTTAAGTGTTTACAATAGAGATAATATTATCACGATTATGGGGCGTTTGTACCCGCAGTAAAATACGATGATTTCTTTTAACATACACTAGCATACAAATGACATGAAATTGATGTTTCTAAAATATTTACCTTGCATTCCGATAGTTAACATTATACCGCCTGGTCAAGGACAAATAGCCATAAGCCTGTCTTTTTTCAATTGCTTCAAGTCTTTGTTATTTGTAAGACATGTTTTTACAATGTGCTCCTAAAGTAAAGTCTATGAAAAGAATGTTTCGTGATGTCCAACAGAAATGTGACAAGCAGGCATGATATCTGTGCTTGCTAAACATAAAAAAAAGCAAATACACATACATAGTAACAAAGTGTAACAGCAAAGGAGAAAATGTATGACTGGACCTGGAATATTGAACATGGGACCCTTGCATCACTAGACAGGTGCTCAACAAACTTGGCTATCCAGGCCAATATCCATGGCTCAAACCATTACATTCCTCCCTCCTTTAATAAATGGTATTTTGCCCCCATAGACACAACCCAAGTGCTTATTAGCCCCTGGCAGGACTTTCACCTACAATTCAGGGGTGGTCAATGGCACCAAATCTGTAACAGGAGGGGAGAAAATGAATGGCTGGACCAGAAATTGAACCCGGGACCCCTGTATCTCCAGTCAGGCGCTCTACTGACTGAGCTATCCAGGCTGATATCCGCGGCACAAACCACATGCATGAATATAGAGTACAGAGGGTTTAGTTTGATCAATATCTCTTTTATCATTTACATGTGCTATTTCAGTATTTGCTAGGCAAAACTGCAGACATGAAACTATATAGCATAACAAATAGAAACACACGAGTGTTTATCACATGCTTAGTGGTGATTTTTTTTCCCAGGGAAAGTACATTGCTGAATGCATTGATGAAATAAAGCAAGAACTTCGTCAAGAAAACCAAGCAGTGAAAGCCAATGCTGTAAACAAGCTTATCTATGTAAGCATCATCTCCACTCTTACTTAGTCTATTTATAATCCCGGTTTATGTGATTTAATTTTTAATGTTCTTATGTCTGCACCTTGTTTATTGGATTTTTTTACCAAGTTTTTTTTTAAATACATTGTCTTTATTTACTTTGACAGCTTCAAATGCTGGGATATGACATAAGCTGGGCTGCCTTTCACATCATCGAAGTGATGAGTTCAACAAAATATACAATAAAGGTGATAAATTTGGTATAAGTTATAATATTTTATTAAATATTGAAGAATTTTGATGTTTTTCTTACTGGTCTTGGCAATCTCTTCTGAGATGTACCCCAGAATTCAACTTGATTTAAAGTGAGTTAAGTAGTAGAAAACGAACTTGCTATTGTTAATTTGACATTACTATAGGTACATTATTCAGTTGTGTCTATGTATTCATTTAATTTCATATTATTGAAAATCTACATTAGAAAGCAATTATTGACTTTTTTATCAATTGGGTGCCTTAGCATAAGTTAACAAGGTAGAGTGCAAAGTAGTGTCTAAAGTTCTATAAGGCTGACACTTATTTTATTAAGTCTGATGTAAGACTAGCAAGATTGGAAAATCTTTTGTACCATTTGATATATATTTTTACATTTTTCGAAAGTCTGCTTGGCCATGATTACAGTTCTAATGTTTTCTATAAATGAGTGAGTATATCATGTGTATGTAATATTGTGATCTTAATCATTCATCTTCCGTGTATTGTTCTTACAGAGAATTGGTTATATAGCAGCCTCGCAAAGTTTCCATGAAAGCACAGATGTTTTAATGTTGACCACCAACATGATCAGAAAGGTGAATTTTTCTCTATTTGTTGTTTACATCACAGATTTGTTATCACACTATAAAGTTAGTTGGTTAAAAAAAATATCTGGCTCTCTTTGTATCTTTTTTACCAATACAAAAATTAACTAAGGAGAAGATACTTTAAGACATGCATTGTTGAGAATGTCAGCATTGAACCAATTTACAATAGCAAAAAATTGATCTGACCAATAAAGAAATTAGAGGTACATTAGGACTTCAGACAGACCCTGAATAAACGGAAAGAGCCTCTACCCTGGGATAATTTTTTGTGCTATTTGCCATGGGGAAATAAGTATGAAAATTACTCACTGGCACATTGGATTTCCCATAAGCTTCTTCTGGGACCTTTACAACTTTAGAGCATATAGGATATCTGTTTGAGTGTGCATATTTAAATTGTGCAGAAACACACTGTATAAGAATTGTAGTTTGATAGATAATGATTTTTCTAAAAATTAATTTTGTGACATATTTTGAATTTATTGCCCTATTAAAAAGTATGATATAAATATTTAATTAAAATAGATACAGATTGATTTGTAGACTTCCTGATTATCTTATGCATGTACTAATTAGGAAAATAATTATTGATTCTCTTCATTTGTGAAATTCTGTACCACATTATAACACTCCAGCATCATTTTACAAAAATACTGGACTTTCTAGAAATTATGATTTTGTCAATTTCGTAAAAATTATTCTCAATTCTAAAACTGTATATATTGTACTTTTACAAAAAGTAATCGATAGATACAGATGTATAACTTGGAAATTTCCTCTGTTCACATTCTTTGAATGAGCACATAAAATTTACATATCTTATTGTCATAAATCATATAATTTAGTAAAAATAAAATGATCCTAGAGTGTTTGTACTGTATTGTACATTAATGATCAATTCTTAATGCATACATTTGTACCTAAATATATAAATATTATTTTCAAACTTTGTTTTTCTTAAACAAATTTTAATGTGAGATAACATTATATTATTTGCACTTGTGTGTGACACTGGTTTCTGATCTCTTTTGTTTACTCATTATTATTACTTATTTTACAGGATCTAAGCAGTCAGAATATGTACGATGCTGGTATTGCTCTATCTGGTCTCTCCTGCTTTGTCACACCAGACCTCGCCAGAGATCTCGCTAATGACATCATGACTCTTGTAAGTTTCAGTCCAACGGTTTCAAGTTTCAGCTAATACATTTAATATGGAGTCATCAAATAAGAATTTCCATATTATGATTTTGCTGGATCAGAATACACAGTAGTGTTGCCTAAATAAGATTGAAATGCATTGTATCTTTTTTCCAATAAATGAATAACTTTTGTGAAAATTATGATTAAAGGAATATTGTTTTGCTGAGTTCTTGGTAAAATTGTTAATTTCAGATGACATCAACTCGTCCGTACCTAAGAAAGAAGGCAGTACTTATTATGTACAAAGTTTTCCTGCAGTTTCCCGAGGCATTAAGACCTGCATTTCCAAGGCTCAAGGAAAAACTGGAAGATCCAGACCAGGGTAAGCGAGAAGAGGACTATTTTATTAGCCCAGCAATGTTACTCTATCACATACACAGTACATTCATTTGCAGATGTATTATTTAACCAGAGAAAATATATGTTTTTATATATAATTTAGAAAAAATGTGGGTATTCTATGTTGAAGATAATCATATTTAAATCCTGTCTTTCTGAGTTTTTCAAAGAACTTATTAGAAATAGAAATCTAAGGTATTCTTTTTATTTGCTTTCACAGATTTAGTGATCTGCTTTGAGAGAGTATGTTTGTATGTGTAATATTTTACTATGTCAAGAATTATGAGTGTATTTTTATCAGTGCTGTATAAATTGTTGAATCCCCCACCTTCACTTGTAGAGAAGATTAGTATGTTATTAATGTTGATGTATCAAATTCTCTACAGGAGTTCAATCAGCTGCTGTCAATGTGATTTGTGAACTGGCCAGAAAGAATCCCCAGAATTACCTCTCTTTGGCCCCACTTTTCTTTAAGCTGATGACAAGTTCTACAAACAACTGGGTCCTCATTAAAATCATCAAACTGGTACGTTCAATCTAAAGCTTTACATTTATTTATGATGCTGTGTTATTTAGCAATTGGAGAAGTGACAGGATGAAATTTTCATTATGAAACTTTAGTTTAATACAGAAGCATGCCCATCAATAGAGGAGGGGAGAAAAAGAAAACATTTTAAGCTCAGTTTGATAGAAAATTCTGAAAAGTCAATATATAGAGAGACAATAACAAGACAATATTTTTGTTGAATTTATAAAACAATCTTGCAATCATGAATGAGAATATATATCTTGTGACTGGATGCATTGTGTCCATGGGTCTCATGTTAAACAGATTTAACATACCACTTTTTCAGTATTGAAGACTTTGATGTTTTACATTTTAGTTCAGTGCATTAACACCCTTGGAGCCTCGCCTTGGGAAAAAACTTATAGAGCCTTTAACTAATCTAATTCATAGGTGAGATTTCAGTCTCTATTTAAAGTATAGATTCTTGATTTCACATATTCTACACGTACTTACCATTAATGTCATGTCTAATTCTGTCTCTCTTTTTGGCAGTACTTCAGCAATGTCTCTACTTTATGAATGTATCAACACTGTCATAGCAGGTAAGGCTTTTTATCATAAAATTTTACCTTTAGTACACTCTTTGATGGTTATAAGTTTAATTTAGTGGGTCATGTAGATATGTTATAGACATTTGATTTATGATTTTTCTTATTCCACCCTTTTTATTTTTGTGTTTTTTAAACATCCATTTTGAATAGATCTTAAAGTTGGTACAAGAGGAAAGATATATGTATATATTTCTTTTACTATTGTGTAGTTTAAAGTTGTTGAAAATTATAACGTTTCAAAATTATTTCCATTTTTTAAACATTTTAACTTCTTTAATGCTTCCTTATCTGATCAGCTTCCTCTTGGAAAAAGCATTAAAAAATATTGTGCCTGCAGTAATTGTCTTTCTGATATTTATAAATCATATTACTAAATCATATGTGTCACTCATGCAAAAAAGATTATCAACATTTTGAGGATCTTTAGAACAGTTTAAGAATTTTAATCACTCACATAGTGCACAGAACATGTATTGGCATTTTTGGTTGAAATTAGCATTGCTTATTCGTAAAAACAATGGCAGTGAATCTATCATATTTTTATCACAAAATTAATGCCTATTAATGTTCTAAACATAAGGTATATAACACAGTATATAATATATGATGTACTAACAGAATGAACTATAACTGCTTGAAGAGAGTTATCAAAGGGAGACCACTGCTGGCACAATATTGAGTTATAATGATTTTTCTTCCTTTAAAGATTTATCAACATTTTGAGGATCTTTTAGTGTCCTAGTGTATTTCAGGGTAAACAATGGCAGTGTTTGTATAAATGTTCTAAACATAAGGTATATAACACAGTAATAATGAATAAATACAAAGATGACCTTCATAGAAAATGTATAAAGAAAAGTTTATTAAAACTTACCATGTAACCAGGTAACTCAGGAGAGTAATATTCATTAAATAATCCAGTGAAATAACATCTAGGCTGATCCAGGATTCAGCTGTTCAGAACTTTCTTGGAAGAAAAACGGTAGAAAATCAGTTTTGGTACTGAAATCCATAGGACCATACTGTTATTACATGAAGTCTCAAGCGCAGTGAAAGTCTGTGTTATTGTGTCAAAATAAGCAGCCATCGCGGCTTGTGAAGGACTAACATGACGTCGCTGCCAAGTTTATGACGTCACAATGCATAGGTAAGCTCGCTGACTAGATAGTTTACAGAAAGATAAGTCCAACCTATTTTTGCACTTGTTCTTTTGTTTTGGTCTTGTGTGTTATTTGTTAATGTTTTGAGGAAATCCAGTTTGAAAGATGATGCAACAGGTATAAAAAAGATGATGCAATAAGTATTAAAAAGATGATGCAATAGATCTTAAAGATGATGCAATAGATATATAAAGATGATGCAATAGATATATAAAGATGATGCAATAGATCTAAAAGATGATGCAACATATGTACTGAATTGACCCGGCTATCCTTAGAACCCCCTAATCTGCACTCCCTTGACCCACCTATCCCCCCCCCCCAGGAGCTGCACTCTCTTGACCCACCTATCCCCCCAAAAAGTGCACTCTGTTGACCCACCTATCCCCTCAGCCCCAAAAGTGCACTCAGTTGACCCACCCATCCAGACCCCTTATACTACTCCCAGGTCATTGGTTCCTGTGGGGTGGAGTACACAACAGGATTATAAAGTGGAAACACATTTTCTCTTTGTTACTCTGATCTACCTCTGTGTATTAAGTAACCAAAGTAAGCAAGCTAAGTGTATAGTTATGATAAGCAATAGTGCCTCTTTCAAAATTGTGAATTTCATGGCCTTTGATTTAAAACACGAACCAATTCAAATGTTTGAAAGTTGTTACATGATACTCAGGTGACCTGTAAGGCCCGTGGGCTTCTTGTAATGTTTACATCTCGGGTTCGTATGTTTTTTCTTACAACTCGTTTGTGGTATTTATTTCGGAACAAACATTTTTTTACAGTTACTTCTGAATCAGTATTTCCCTGAAACTGGTTGAATCTGGCAGTGATATCCTTCAGAGGTTCGACACGATGTGTTTTTACTAACCTCAAAATTGATCGTTCATCCTGCTCACCAAGTTTTCTCTTACTAGACTTATTCTCCACCGAATCCCGTTCCTGATATCGCTTTATCACTGCACAAACTGTACATCGGTCTAGTCCTAGACACTTTGCAATTTCTGAATGTTTTATTCCACTCATCGTCTCAAGCCACGGTCCAGAGTCCGCATATATAGCTCTCTCCTACCCGTGGCTGTTTGATAACAAAAAGTGTCGTAATCTTGAATATTTATGCCTCTCTAATGTGACGTCATATTCAATCAGTGGCAAGTTTTGTTTTCATCGCAATCAACAACTGACGTCAACAGTATACAAGAACTATTTCCTATACTGCGATTGGTTATTGAAAGGTCGCGATAAAGTTCATCATCCGACTATGCTTTACTCGCATTGGTCAATATTTTAATGAGCTACGAAGAATTCTCTCCTCGTTCAACCACGGCCAGATGGGAGAGGAGCGTACATTTTGGCCGTGGTTTGCGACGATGTATTCCACTCTGAAAACTATTTTCGATCCTTTGTTTTAAGCTTTGTATTAAATCTTCCGCTTTTCCCATTCTCTGTTTACATACAGAATGACGTCTTTTATTGCAATACAAAAATGATACGTCATACCTCATTATACATAATACGTCATTTTACCCAGTCATGTGCCCTTTTTATTTAAACATGCATACTGAAAGGATTTACAGGTAAATAACAGTGGCCATTCCGTTTTAACCGCTATGGAGACGCCATTTGTTTATAATATCCGCCGCTGTAACTTGACATACAAGAATACATCACATATTACTGCATCGATTAATGATTTCGACGAACGGTGTTGCCATGGTTACAAAAAATAGGAATTTATTAGAAAGTCCTTTGTTTCGTCAAAGGTCATGCCCAAAAATTTAGTTTTACAATAGCTCCAGAACTATGTAAGGTATAAAATGAAAATTTTTACAGTTTATAAATATATCATTGATTAACAGATAGAAAGTATCACTTGATAACAAATACTTAAGCCTCTTGAAATTTTTTTTTTTTTTTTGTTTTACCTGTTTATTTTGTCCAAATGTTAAGATTTGAAACCGAAAGTACATTGCAAATGGTGGATTTTATAGGGGTCTTGTCTTTATACGTCATGTATTGGTGTTTGGGGTGCTACTAACCCATCAACATACAAGTATTCATGCATTTTAAAAATTCCGGTTTAAAAGTTTGAACTCACTTCTTTTTTCTTGTCAGTGCTTTCTTCTTCCTGTAAAAGACATTTTATTAAAAGCATTTGTTTAGCAAACCATATTGTGAAACCTTTTTCATTAGAATAATTAACTCATGATGTTTGGGGTTCAAGATAAAAGTTAACCGTCTTTTTAGCTCTACTGGTCAGAGACCAGAAGAGCTTATGCGATAGTAAGGTGTCCGTCGTCCGTCTGTCTGTAAACAATTTTTCAAAACGCTACTCCTCCTACAGTTTTGGTCTGATTTTAATATAACTTGGCACTCAAGTAGACTACACTAAGATACATAAAATAGTGCATCGGTATTTGATTTCGATGAACGGTGTTGCCATGGTTACTAAAAATAGAATTCTCTGTGAAATTCCTTTAAAACGCTATTCCTCCTACAGTTTTGGTCTGATTTCAATATAACTTGGCACACAAGTAGACTACACTAAGATACATTAAATAGTGCATCGGTTTTTTATTTCGATAAACGGTGTTGCCTTGGTTACTATTAGATTTTTCTGTGAATTTCCTTTAAAACGCTACTCCTTCTACAGTTTTAGTCATAGGAGCTTGTCTTCTGGATTGATAAATGTAAAATAAATTTTAAAAATTTTGAATCTTCTTTGAATACACTTAAAAGTTGTTAAAATAAAGATCCTGACACTTTCAGGCAAGAAAAACCACGTTTAAAAAAGACGTACCACACCTATATACATAAACTCTCAAAGGGACGCAAGCTGACATCTTGGAAAAAATACCCCCTCCCACTTCAGCACCTATTTCTTACTCTAAACCATTAATTTATTTCGGTATCATGGCTCTGTCCCCTACAGTAATGATTTTCCTAGGTGTTGATGCGATTGTCAGTCGTGAACACGCGTTTAATCAACAGTAAACGGATACAATTTCTTCGATTTGAGCTCATCTCGCTGAATTGACCCAAAAAGAACGGAAGTTGACAAAATTGCAAGGGCAGATAATGATTGTATAGGGAAAACTCAGAGGGTAATCGAAAGCGAATGGTAACACCCAAGGATTTCCAGCTTCGCGGAAAAAAGTTTACTGACAAGAAAAAGACAGTGAAAAATGATAAATACGGGCTGAAGTTTGGTTTCACAGGCTAAATTGTCATTGGGAAGACTCATTTAATATATAAGTAATTTGTTACATAATTTAAAAGCGAGCTATATGCTATACCACGATTATCGCCCTTGCGTCGTTACCATGCAACCATGTCAACTTCCGTTCTTTTTGGGTCGATTCAGCGAGATGAGCTCAAATCGAAGAAATTGTATCCATTTACTGTTGATTAAACGCGTGTTCACGACTGACAATCGCATCAACATTTAGGAAAATCATCACTGTAGGGGACAGAGCCATGATACCGAAATGAATTAATGGTTTAGAGTCCAGAAATAGGTGCTGAAGTGGGAGGGGGTATTTTTTCCAAGATGTCAGCTTGCGTCCCTTTGAGAGTTTATGTATATAGGTGTGGTACGTCTTTTTCAAACGTGGTTTTTCTTGCCTGAAAGTGTCAGGATCTTTATTTTAACAACTTTTAAGTGTATTTAAAGAAGATTCAAAATTTTTAAAATTTATTTTACATTTAACAATCCGGAAGACAAGCCCCTATGGTTTTAGTCTGATTTCAGTATTTCGTGGCACACAAGTAGACTACACTAAGATACATAAAATAGTGCATCGGTTTTTGATTTCGATGAACAGTTTTGCCATTGTTACTAAAAATAGAAATGTCTGAGAAATTCCTTTAAAACGCTACTCCTTCTACAATTTTGGTCTGATGGCA